AACTCACGGTCTTCGCTGCCCACCCCCACTGCAGCAGGAGCAGCAGCAGCAGCAGCAGCAGCAGCAGCAGAGGGGTCTGCAGAGCTGCTCGGCAGCAGCGCACGCAGCAGCCAGGAGGAGACCGATCCCGAGGCCACCAGACAACGCACGAACTCTCCTCCCGCTTCTCCCCCCACCCCACACAGCAGCAAAGGGTGTGCTATGTCTGCAGCAGCAGCAGCAGCAGCAGCAGCAGCAGCAGCAGAAGCAGAAGCAGCAGCAGCAGCAGCAGCAGTTTATGATCGATCTTATGAGAGAGAGAGGCACCGCGGCAGTTGCTGCCTGCGCAGCTACATGACTTGCTTATACTTGCTGCTGCTGCTGCTCCTGCAGTTACTGCTGCTGCCACGGCTGCTGCTGCTGCTGCTGCTGCTGCTGCTGCTGACCTTGAGGGGAGAGCGGGACAAGCACGGCAGTGACGAGGTGCAGAGACAGTGCAGCAGCTGCTGCTGGGGGGCCCCACACGAAAGAAGAAGCAGCAAGTTGCATGCGGAGACAGCGCAGCACCCGCAGCAGCGCAGCAGCAACAGCAGCAGCAGCAGCAGCAGAAGGAAAAGAAGAAAGGAGACAGGCACACATACAAACAAACCAAGACAAGACCGCCTGCATGCAGACACACACACACAACAGCAGCAGCAGCAGCAGCAACGGCAGCAAACGCAGTTGCAGCGGCAACCGCAGCGACAGCAGCAGCAGCAGCAGCAACAGCAGCAGCAGCAACAACAGCAGCAAAAGAGTTGTGTTCGTTCCCCCACAGATATACCCACTAGCCGGGACGGCTCGAGAAGCGACAAAACGCCTACTAAGCGGATTAGGGTTTAGGGTTTAGGGTTTAGGGTTTCAGGGTTTGGTGCTTTGGTGTTAACGAATTAGGGTTTAGGGTTTAGGGTTTAGGGTTTAGGGTTTGTGTTGAGGGTCAGGGTTTAGAGGCAGAATTTAGAGCTTAGAGTTTAGGGTTTTAGGGTTTAGGGTTTAGGGTTTAGGATCTAGGGTTTAGGGTTTAGGGTTTAGGGTTTGGGGGCGGACGGGTTGCAGCAGCGCGAGTTGACAGTCTGTAGATAGCAGCAGAGATGCTGCTGTCAGCAGCTGCAGCAGGCGAGCTGCTGCTGCAGCACTTATGCGTTTGCTGCTGCTGCCTTTTGCTTCGGGTTGCTGCAGCGAGAAGAGACACAAAGCAAGAGGTAGGAGACGGTGGATCTGCTGCTGCTGCTGCTGCTGCTGCTGCTGCTGCTGCTGCTGTGGGCCGCAGAGAGGCAGTAGCTGCTGCACGTGCTGCTCCATGAAGCTGCTGCTGCTGCTGGTGCTGCTGTTGCTGCTGCTGCTGCAGCCGACTGCAAACTCATGCAGCAACGCCAAGACAGCCAGCGTGCCATCTAGCCCCTGCTGCAGCTTATCATCTCCCTGCTGCTGCTGCTGCTGCCGCTGCTGCTGCTGCTGCTGCAGGTTGCTGCTGCTGCTGCTGCTTCCCGTCGGGGCGAGAGAGAAGAGGACAACAGACTGCAGCAGCCACCGCAGCACTAAGTACTGAGACGGCAGCAAAGACAAAGCAGCAGCAGCAGCAGCAGCAGCAGCAGCTTCCTCTCCTGTTGTAGGGTCCGGTCGCCCATAGTCTGGCGTGGCATGCTGCTGCTGCTGCTGTTGCTGCTGCTGCTGCTGCTGCAGCATGGGTCTTGCTGCTGCAGCAGATTCAAAAGTGCTGCTGCTGCTGAAGCTGTCGTTTGCAAACCCCCAGAGGTCACCGGCTGCAGCACTCTCAAACGCACCTCGCTGCTGCTGCTGCTGCTGCTGCTGCTGCTGCTGCTGCTGCTGCTGCTGGATGCCTGCAGGTAGTATGAGGGGCAGAGACAGCTGTCTCCTCCCAACGAGGTGGC